CCCCCACTGGGGTCAACTGACCTCAGCAGTCTTTCCTGCCTTAGCGCAGGGGGGTTGGACTTGATAAATCTCATGAAGTCCCTTCTAGCTCCTAACTTCTACGAATCAACAGTTGCAAAAAACACAGCAGAAGCACTTTCTACAGGAGCAGGAATACAGTGTTGCAGAAGATTCTCAATTCCAAGCAGGTCAGCCCACTTCAACAGGGCCTGGTGCACTGTCCCCTTGAGAGGCTTAGGATCTCTAGGTAGTAACAGAAGTTTGTTGTGTTGCCTCCAGTATTTAAAAAACACAACAAAAATTGGGGGGCAGCCTCTCCTTCAGCTAAGAGTGACTAGCTGTCAGATTTGCCATCAAGGTGTTCCACAGGTAACTGGTATCTTAAGTAGGGTAGGGGAAAATAATTAATTTTCTTTTGGTGTGGCCAAGCAGAAGTTGGATTCACATCTGATTGAATTTCCATCCCCCCACCCCGGGGGGGGGGGGGGGGCGTGGCGGGAAAGGAGAACACACGGGATGGACAACGATATACAGCTTCCCCCCCCCATTGTTTTTCCATGGGAAATTATATACCATCATTTCAATTCTCTTTTGTCTAAATGGATTTGGGGGGGGGGGGGGGGAAAAAAAGAGAGAGACTGTCAGTACCAGGACACTACTTTACTAGTATCCTAAAGGACATCCTGGCACTGGCTACATATTCAAAAAAAACCAGGAGAGAAAGTGCAAATAGCCAGTGAAAAGACAGCAGCAGCAAGGAGGCAGAGAGAGAACAACTCGCTAATGGAGCTGTTAGGACATTCCCAGTGAACGATTTAGACAACAGGACCCTCACCTTTACCTTTGATCACATTACACTCCTGAGACCAAAAGGTGTTATTTACTTTGGATGCCCCCCCCCCCAGCCACCTTATTAGAGCAGTGGGGGCTAACCTTTTTCACCAACATGCCATAAGTCAACTCTGTACTTTCCCAAAGTACCCCTCCAATCCCCTCCAGCTTGGGTCTGCTACTCTTTTTGCTTCCTGCCCAGTCTCCTGCTCTGTGCCTTGTCTGCACCTTGATCTTCTGTGCACCATGTGCAGAGGCTGCCAAAGCATTGTGGCATGTCATGGGTAGGTCACCCTTGCACTAGAGGATCAAGACTTAGCCTCTCCTCCCCCAGTTATTAGCATTTTGAAATGCAGCCCGATGTAAAAAGCAACTAACCTTGTAGTAGCCACCTTCTGCACCTATGGGTATCTTGATGGTAATTACATCACTGTCATTTAATACAACGTACTTCCTGGAAGCAATTTCTGTGGGAGAGAGTTTGTGCAGATCCACTCCAACTTCAACGAGCACATCCTCAAAACCAGTAGCTCCAGCAGACAGGGGATGAACATTTTTTGGAACACTCCATGTGATTGTATCATTAGTGTAGTCCACACCATCTTAATTTTAGGAATATTAAGAAGTACAGGCATGGGTTGAGCTAGGTCTATCTTTGTGCCTCATGAGCATTTGGTGTCAGTTTAGAACAGAAAGGGACTTGGCATCTCACCTATTGGACATGCCACAGCTGTGTCTGCCATAAAGATCATCCATCGCTGCTTGTAGAACGTACTTGATCTCACAGCAGAAAAGGTTACTCCTTGAACCTGCAAGGGTTGATCTTATTAGAACTGTACTAAACAACGCTATGCAGGACTTCGACAACTGTACCAACCTTGACCAGCTGAGCTTCTGCAGCACTGTATGGTACTCGCAGCAAAATCCTGGTATCAGTTGTGTTGAGTCCATAGCCAGCATCCTTAGCATCGCTCACAAGCAGAGCTTTTTTTCCAGCAGGCAGATGAAACACAATTTGCCAGAGAGAAGCTGTGCCTTCCCTTGCCTGAATCAGAGACAACAGCAAAAGCTGTCACAGGATTTTTGATCTCCAATTCATTCCCTTAGATTTTCCTTCTTTATGTAGTGCCAGTCTCCCATAGAGGTTCAAAAAGAGAGTTTTCCCCCCCATGTGAAATATCTGCAATTCCTTGCCTGCTGCTCTTTCTGAACAGCAATAAGTTTTTCAGAGAGCTTCCCTCAAGTCCTGACTATGGCCCAGTGCTACTCTGGAGCTATTTATGCTGCTAACTGCAGGTTTTGGGCATGCCCCAGTGCAAGCAAGTGAAAGGGCTTATTTTCTCAGTGGGAGTAGTAGTAGTAGACATGGCCTTGGACACTCAGCAAAGCAGTCTGAAGCCATCTCCCCCCCCATACCCTCAATCTTGCCAGGAAGAGCTCCTAGAGTGAAGAAATTGTGGAACAAACTTAACACTAGAGGCCACAGATCCTACCTGTAGCCCTTGGATTCTTATACTTTACTCCACCATACATATGATGCACAGATATTGTGAAGCCAAAATAGCTAGCATAGAAGCTATCCTTTTACCTCTGGAAAAGCTAGAGCCCAGTCCTCAGGTTCATCCTCGATCATCTCTGGCATGATCTGTGGTACTTTCCTCCTAACAGACACCTTGAAGAGGAAAGGTCTGTCAATAATTTTAAAAACCAGCTTACTTTCTCCCTTCTCCTTTCAGTCTAGCACATCTACAGAATTCCTGCTTCTAGGCAGGATTAATTAATTAAAATCAATCTTTAGAATGAAGAAAGTGCTTCACCACTCATTGCCATTGTTTACCACGTTCAAAGCGAGAGACCCATTAAACCTACTGAAAGATGACATTTAAAATTTGTTAAATGAATGTAGGTGTCCAATTCTTGGACACTGTGGTACTTTAGTTTATCAGGGGTGCTTAGAAATGCAACTCTGAGCTACAGCTGTGATGCAGTACAGTTTCTTTTCCCAATTCTGCAAGGTTTAGCATTAGTTAAGAAAGGTTATTTGCTGTTCATTAAAGACTTTGCCAGTATAAAGCAAAAAAGTCATAGCTGATCCAGAACACCAAAACTAATAGATGTGTTGTTGGCCAAGCAACCCTTCCAAGGGCACATCCAATATCCTACTTCCCCAGGAAAGGCCAAGATGTTCAAGCACTTACCTCCATGTAGTTTGTTTCACATATTAGCTCTCTTGGACGCCATGAATCATAAAGACAGCTCACAGTTTTTGAGTGAGTTGCAGCATTTTTCATGTCAGGATTAGTAGACACTTTGATTTGCACAGTTACTGTGAACACATCACCCTGCAAGGGCAGAGCAGTTCTTATTCACAATGCCTTCATCTGTGACTTGCCATGACCATCCTCTATTTTAAGTCCATTTTCTCAGTTTTAACAGGATAAAACTTAAAACATTTCTATATTGCAGTAGACACTATTAAATGAATGGTGTCCAGATGGATGCCAGAGACCCTTCAAAAACTGTATCCATATCTTCCAACGTGAGTTTATACAAGTTAAAACCCTATAGCCAACATTGGGACACTTGATGTCAAGTCAGACATACAAATCTATTTCTGTTGCATAGATAGCTCTCTCAAGGCCTTTTCACAACAAAGGGGATTTTGTTTGCATGCTGGATTGCATTTTGTAGTGGAGCTTCAAGAGCTGTTATCGCAATATACCTAGGTACTTGGAAATAACCACCCAGGGGCCTAAGGAAGTATGTTAAAATAGCCGCTAAGTTTCAGTAATGGAGAATACACTGTATTACCAGTATCTTCTGCAGGAAATGGTAAACGTCTAGTGATTTGCATGGGTTGCAGTTACTGACCACAGCACAACTGCCATAGGCTAAAGACAGAAGCCTTACCTCAATATGAGAATAGCAGCTTAAAATGGAAGCACGGAATTCAATAGTACCCCAGTAGTAGTAGACTATTGTGTAGCCACACTGTGATGCCAGAGCCTCATCTATCTCCCAGATCGTGCCAAACTGGTCTGTGAATGTGTTATTGAGGTATGTTAAGGAGATCTTTATAGTACTTATCCAAGAAAATTAAAAAAAAAAATGCATCTCTTGGTGACATTACTGCACAGCATTAGCCAGTTTAATAGAGTCACTTCAGGTTTGTTCTGGAGTGTGCGCCATGTAAAACTTCAGCTTCTCTCCAACCCCACCCCAAAGAAGGGCCATCCTTCCCCCCCACCTCTCCTCCCTTCTTTGGAGCCCATGCTTAGCTTACCAACAGCAGCAAAGGTCAGATACTTGTCATCAAAGTAATCGGCACTCAGTGTGATCCTCAAGAGGCTCCCCAGGCACTCTGAGCTCATGAAGCCTGCATTGACATTATTAATAAGACAATCAGCAATTTTCTGTTTCTATAACATCTTTCATTCAAGTAATCCCCAGGTAATTTACGCAACTGACACTTTTCCATAGCCACATTCTAACCCTTGGGATTTCAAAGAAAGAGCCATGTAGTTTACATTTTTTTTTTAAAGTAGCTTTAGAATTCAGGTCTTGAACGTGCCTCCTTTCTGAAAGAGGTTTTTGTTTTAAACTGGAAAAAAAAGGCATTTTTCCTCCCCCAAGTAGGAGTCCAGCATGAGCAATGTCCTGAAACAATAGTGACACAAGTGAAGCATGGATAGAAAGAATTGACTACATCAATTCCATTTAGCCTTTATGGAGGGGGGAGTCTTCCAGATACTTATATTGATTATATTATATTTTGCCTTGGGGGGAGGCAAATGGCACTTGCAGTAAGAGTTGGATTTTTACAACCTACAGTTACTATATAGTTGAGTATCATCCAGAGAGATTTACCACTGTCTAGAAGTTTTAGAACTCACTAGGTTATTGTTAGAAGTTAAAGCCCCACTGTTTCTATAGAAATGACTTTATGTACAAAGAATCCTACTGAAGACGGGGTACATCCACATGAGTAGTTGCATGTAGTGGTATTTGCAGGACTGAGATCTGCTAGGAAGAGACTAGGGACTACAGCATGTCTATACTGCCAAAACTTAACATGCCAGGAAGTGATACCTTCAAACATATCACGTTGTTTCACACATTACCAACCAGAAGCAGTGAAGCTGCATTTATATGGTGCTGAGGATAAGAAAATTAGCACTACCGATCAAGTGTTAGGTGGGTTGCTCAGATTACCATACAGACATGGTTACGTCTCTTCTGATGCAGAGGCAGCCTACATGGAGCAGCATGGCAAGTTTGTAGTATAGACAGTGGGTTGATAATGGTGAACTGGGAGGCAGCATGTGGATGCGGGTAATTGTGACTCCAGAGCAGTAGTTCTCAAAACATTGGTCTGCAAATTGCACTTGCCCTCAGCCATTTTTAACTAGCAGTTTGAGAAGGGTGCATGGTGGGCTTCAAGAGATTTGGAAACCACTGCTCTACATCAGCATGTTCTCTTTCCAGTTTCCTCCTTAGCTTTATATTAGTTAGGCAAAACAAGTCCTATTTTGTGAAGAAACATTAGTTTTCACTGCTTATGCAGACAGAGTTAACAAAGGACCCAGTCTTAGCCAAGTGAAGAAACAGAGACTTTCATGATAGTGTCAATAGTTTGAGCCTGAGAAAGAGTCCGTGTTCCCCCATCACCCTAGGATACAGCACAAACAATGAACAGGACTGAATGAATGAAGTTCTCTTGTTGAATATTCATCTTGTCCATCAGCATCTGGAGACTCTACATTTCTTTACTAGCACAGCCTAAACAGAAAGGTCTTTAAGAGAGACACTAGTACTTAACATTAAAGCCAAGGAGCTTAAGCTGAATGGCCATACGCTAGCAGTCTCTAAAACCCAGCTGGGGCATTAAGGTACAGAGCACCACCTACTGAAAGGCCACAGCAAGCTCAGAAAGGAGTACTCGCAGTTTCAAGGCAGTTCACAAGAGAGTTACCTGGCCCATCTTGGGTCCATGTTTCAGAGGCTAATACCCCTATTAGTAGTAACAACCTACAAGAGAAAGGTTATATATGCATCAGTTTGGATTAGCAGCAGATTTCTTAACTTAGGCAAAGCTGTATTTGAATAAGTTCAAGACTTGCTTAAAGCAGGCTTTGTGATTTTGATTGAATAATAAATTAGTTTCCAAAAGTAGAGCTTGTTAAAACTACAGGGGGTGGGGAAAGAAAAAAAAAAATCAAATTAGTACAGTTTACACTCTAGAGACAATAATCCATCATTCACAGAAGTACAGAGGTATACTCACCTCAGTATAAGATTTAGCACCATTGCCCTTTAGCTCAGCTACTAGCTGTATTTTTTTCTTCTCCTCTTACTTTTACAAACAGCAGAGAAACCTCAAACCAATTTTCAGCTGTATTTTGACTGCATTCTTAAGGCTTTAAACTTGCAATGAGGATGAAAGCAAAGTCTCCATCTTTATACTGATGTAAGTCACTTGCAGATGCTCCCTAGCCATACACTTGCAATTTAATTCACCTGTTTCTTCATGTTATTCATTAATTAAACTCCTTCCTATCCTTGTTGCTTTAGATATCATTCTTGTGGATTCCTGGGTGGCACTGATCATTTAGTTAGAGGCAAGAGGCATTTAATAAAGTCTAGAAAAAACAGTTTGAAATTCACTAGCCCTAAGTGATCGCCTTCAGTTCTGTCTCCTAGCATTTGCAAATGCTCCCTGCCCATTAACACCTCATTACAACAGTAAGAAATAAAAAAGTATCTGGAAACTTATAGGTCCCAAGGGGTGCCGTTAGCTTTGTTTACTTTAAATCAGGCTATTGTATATATTTCCCTCTTTCTTCCTCTCCACACTGTGTGGAGTGAAGAGAGTTGAAGGTTTAGGCATTTGACCTCCTGGTTTCAAAGTTCCCCTAAATATTATACAGACACTTGCCTGTTTCTTCAGAAGTGACTTAAAGTAAAGCAGATCCTATTACTTCAGGTTCTGAATGTATGATAGAGGGTGGTGAACTTAGTTACAGAGTTGCTGTACTACCAGGATCAAAGTCATAATTTTCCAAAGCACTTTGAAATAGCTATAGAGAAAGCCAAGTCAGATTTTAGTCAATAACCATTAATGTGAGTCTATATATTTTTATATCACCTTATTAAAAATGGTCTTGTCTTTCAAGTTCTCCACTATAAAGCCCATATTACTATTGTATAACCAATTAAAGGTAAAGCCTACCATAATAAAACTTATCATACTAAAAATAGGCAAGTGTGTAAGTATTTTGTAGGATCAGAGCCATACTTGAGAAGTCGACAACCTAATTAAAAAAAGGAGTGTATGTTTAAGTACAGAATGTGACATAGTTTAGTCTCAGGCTTTGGCTTTTTTTAAGAGGGTGTATGAATAGGTCTGTCTTGACTCTGTGTATGATTACAAACATACCACGATAGCCTTCGTTTCTTCATAGCATTTGTGCAGCATTTGGGAACATAATCCTGACACAGTTGTAGAAGGGGTGTTATGTTTGTACGTTGAAACTAGAATATTTTTGGTCTCTCAGAAGTCAGAACCCCCGGAATATCATGGGATATTGCCCTAAGGACTATTTTCTCTTGCAAATACTACACTGAAGAAAGGTAGTTAGGTGTGTCAGTCTGAAGTCAGGCAGAAGGCAGGGCAGAGTGGCACCTAGTTAGTCTATTAAATACTATAGTTTTCAAAAGATGGAAAAGGTCTAGGGTGACATGGGATCCCTGATTATTATGATATTTAGTTAATTATTCTCCCTCCTTCTCTGTATTTTAGAGCTTTAGAACCACTACCAATCAACTTCTACATATAGGAAGCCAATGCTGGATTTTGTCAAGTTACTGAAGCTTCTTCCTTTTCAAGATCAAAACACTGATGGGAGAAGTGTTGTTTAACTTGGCTTTTCCATTTCCTTTATTTTTCTTCTGTGTCTGTGTGGTTGCTATGGGCTTTAGACAGAAAGGAACATCACTGCTGAGGGTCTTTCTTGTGGCAGAAAGGCTTTTGCCAAGAGTAAGGTTTGGCAGTATTTCCTCAAGATGGTCAGATTTGTCTGCTCTGCTGTGGAAGTTTGCTCCATAGCTAGATTTGCTAGACTACAAATGTTTTTGTTTTAGGCTATTATGTACAACATCTTGGGCTTTATTTTCTTCTTCAGATGAGCAAAGAGCACAGAAGCGATGGGTGCAATATAAGGAAGTGCTTGCACATTCCCGGCATGTTATGTTGCAGTTTTCAAAGGTGTCCTCATGAGGGAGCCCAAGACCCTCATACCTGATATCTTATTTCTCTCTCTTTCAGATACCAGCACATAAAGAGTAACCCATCCTGCTTTATAATTTGCAAGATGCCAGGATAGACTTCTCTTTGCTCAGGGAACAGGTGCTGGCTCACCTAGGACACTCAGCCTCCTTGCTTTTATGCTTCTTCCCTTCATGCTTCATTCATCTGTTGCATCTTTTTACATTTTTAGCTCTTCAGGACAATGAACTTTTCTGCAGAGCACCATTCACACCAACAGTGGAATATAAATAATACATGATAATAATTAATAATGTCATAATCAGCCAATCAATGTGTTTAATTATTGAAGGGTGCTGCATAACCTCTTACACACAAAATCAATAGTGCTCATTTTATTTATGTAGTAACATTTGCATTGTACCTTTGCGATGCTACAAATAGACTTAACTTCCCAAACCTACTTTTGAGTCCCAGAAAAAAAAAAGCTGAGGCTACCTTGGGTTTGTACAAGGCCTATACCTTGCAGGGTAGCTTCACAAGGTACTCCTTATGAAGGCTGTGAAAAACAGCACCGTTCCAGTTCGACTTCCGTTTTGATGATTTGACAGAACAGTGTTTTGTTTTGAGTTTCATTTCGTTTCAAAAGCTCTGTTCCATTTCGTTTCATCTAAACTGTTGTGCTGTTTTGACGCTGTTTCAATGTTTTGCCCATAGGTTATTATGGGGAAACAAAATGCAGCAGGCAGGCAGATTGGGGGCTCACCTGCACCCCGGGAGGGCTGCTGGGGAAGTGCTGACTGTTCTTTTCTGACAAAACTGGTGCCAGAATGTTTTTCTTGAGGCAAGGTTTTTTGTTAGGAATCTTTTTTATTAGACAAACTTCATGG